AAAAGGTCCGAGAAGTCCTTAACATTTTCTTGTAAAAGATATCCGTGATGATGTGACCTACGCCCATCATGCCATACGAAACCGTTACCGCCGTAGATGTGCTCTTCGTCTTTAAAGGGCAAGGCTGTACCCTTTACGGTTCTGGCGGCTACAGAATTACAGAAACCTTGATAAATTGATAAACGGCTCCCTTAGAAGCCATTGCATTTGGCGAACGTTGTATATGTAATCAGCAACAATGATAGTTAAACTTTCAAGTCTAATGGTGTTTATCCGTAGAAAAGAAGCCAAGCCGATATTTCATTTTTTTTTTTAATCAACACGCACTTATACTGTTGTTAAAGTTGGTCCTAATCTTTATGCTAGCGCTAACGCGAAATGTTTTGAGTCACCTGTCTCAAACTAAACTCTATCTGGAAATCAAACTAGTTTGTCGCTCCAAGGAACAATGATGGCTAAGGATAGTACAGATTGGAGCAGATATAAAAAATGTTCCATTCAGCGAACGTACTATTCAAAGTCAAATGCATCTTGCTACGTAGGAGTGAAATATATGCAATTTGCAGTTTTCACACTTAAAGTGCGCAAATGTGTCGGGGTGCTTTTGTTTCTTAGAGACATGTGTAATCTCGCAATTTCCAACGTCGAACAAAGGACAGGGAAATAAAATTAACGGCGATACTGTTGACATAAGTGAAGTTTTAATGAAATGCCCAGGAAACCAAGCCGATCCCAACTATATTTATTTCATTTGTTTGAATGAACTTGCTTTAATTTCTTTGATTCGTCAGGAGGCCAAATGCAGGATGTAACCTTGCGTCATGAAAACATTCTACGAGACAACATCCAGAGAATCACAACCCAGCAATCCAACGGGGCAGGATGGTGTTAATTGCATCTCTGGGCTTTTTTCCTGAGAGATCCGAAGAGTCCTTAAAGTATTCTTGAAAAACGATATCCGTAATGATATCTGTAATGCTATAGAAAAATTCACTGCCTGACGGGTGAATTCCACGTTAAATTTCACGCGAAAAACCGATATCGCACGAATCGCGAAGCGATTCGTGCGATATCGGTTTTTCAAGTGAAATTTTACGTGAAATTCACGAGTCAGGTAGTGAACTTTTCTTGAATCGCATCACCGAATAAAAATAAGAAAACAAGAAATTAAAACGACAATGTTATTGTTTGTTTTTAATCCATACGCGCGCCCTTAAGAAAGCCATTTTAAAGTCAACTGTCAGAACTGTCATTGTTAAGGGAATGGAAAGCAAGGTAAGTCGCTCACTTTTGAACCGTCGACAATTTTAATTGTACCTCGTGATTTTTCTTGAATCACATAGCTAAAGCCACCAAATCACTGGGCGAAACCAGATGTTTTGTATTCTTGTGCGCCACGCCAGTGCGCAAACAATGGAAACCCTTTCAGAGTCAGGTGTCAATATCTAGCGAATAGAGGGAACAAGATATTTTTAGAATGAAAACCACTTTTATTTCAAACTCGTGGAGAAAGCGGTGCCTCACAGTTTACAATCTTCAGCAAAAAAACTAAAAGTACACAATACGGAGTTATTTAAGACAGAGATTTGCCTGCTACCACTCAACTTGGCA